CAGGCCCAAAATAGATCCAATCGGGTCCTACCCAAAAAGACAACACTATAAATACTAATCAGAACTGGAAACCCTAATTCTAACACTAGAATTTTGTTGCCGCTTTTCTCTCAATCTCTGCCACTGTTGCTTGTTCTTTAGTTCCGATTGAGGTAAAGACACTCTGGATATTGCTTGTTCTTCTTCTTCTTGCTTGCATATGATGTTCTGTCTCATTATTTCTTTTGTCGTTTTTTGCCTGAGATATATTTATCCTTCGTTATCATCTATTGTGATTGCTGAGCTCCAAGAGTTCTTTATTATTAGGTACACCTCTCTTGCTTCTATTCTTTCCCTTTTGAGCTTGATTTTGCTAGATCTTCGTCTCGTGCTACCATTAATGTGTTTTACTGTATTTCCTTGTTGTTGTTGAATCTTGAAACTATATCTGCATCTACCACTTTCTTGTTGTTCTGTTATATGGACACAATAGCGTGTCACCATTTATCAGCATTTTCCCTTCTAATGTCAATTCTTGGAAATTATTGATCTGTATTGCTCCATCATATAAAAGCTTTATGAGTTCAATAATCTGTAACTTTATTAGCTTCCCTTAGAATGTGAGTAATATTAATTTCTCTCTCTACTATGATTTATTGTGTCTCTTGCACTCAAATCGTAATATTTCAAGGAGTCTTCCACTTACAAGTCATAACATTCACAAGAAACAATGAATCTCATTGTATGATATCATGTTTAATTTGTTGTGCTTATATATATTTACATGCTTCAAGTATGGCCTTAGCTTCTGATTTTGTGTTTTTACCTACTTCATCTCTTTAGCTTTTACATATACCACATCTCCCTCCTCATCTCTTACACAAAAGACATATGAGTTTCTTCCTAGATTGCCCCTGGATATGCCATTAGTATTGCACTTAAGCCATTTCCCAGGTGGTAGTTCTCCTAGTACCTTTGTTTCTTTCACCTGCAGAATGTCTTCTTCTAGTGCTTTCAATATGTCTGTCCATTTTGTTGGATACTCCATGTTCGGTCTTTTAACCTTTAGTAATCTAAGCAAGTTTTGAGTAACCTGAAATATTACTGTATGAGTAGAGTTTTGTTTTCCTTTATGTTTGCTATAATTTCTTCTTTTCCATATCTCCCATAATAATATACTAGGAATTGCTCTGAAGTAAGATCTCATCTCTTTTTTAATAGAAAAATTTCACCAAGTTAAGATGATTTCTCTTAGGTGCCTTCCTTATACATTTATACATGCAAAAGAAGAAACATAGGAGCAATTCCTGTTAGATGTAGGCGAGTTCCAGAAAAGGTGAGACATTGTCTCTTGATCATGCTTTCCACAACACCAACATTTAGAAGACAAGTTATATCCCCATCTCCTAATTTTATCATTCACTGGTACCTTATATCTCCACACTCTCCACGTGAAGAAAGCAATTTTGAAAGGTAGTTTTTTTACCCATAACTTCTACAAAATTGGATTAGGCTCCTCCTTAAACCTTACATACTACCATGCAGACTTAACAAAAAGTACCCATTTGATTCAAGCATTCGCCAAGGGTAACTTCTCTAAAATTGGATTAGGCTACTCCTTATGCCTTACATACTCTGATACATACTTAACAACAAAAAAGTACTCATTTTATTCTAGCATTCACCAAGGCTTGTTCATATCTTTTGAGTTAATGGGTGATTGTAATCTGTTAACTATGTCATTCGCTACCTTTTGAGGCAATATCAGGTTTAGCCTGTGTACATTCCATCTACTAGCCTCTATCAAATCCCTTACATTATGTATTGATACATCACATAGAATTTCTTCTGGTGTGATATCATAAAAAACTCCCAAACCTGTCCAATTGTCAAACAAGAATTGAGCAGATCCATTTAGTGGTTGCCACCACATTTGGTGTTTTATTAAATTCCTAGCTTAAAGTACTTCTTCCAAACTTGAGAACCTCCTGCTTTCCACTCAATTAAATTTGGTTCAGCTTTTTGAAATATTTATTACACATAATCAAAGCAATATAATTGATTCCTGAAAAACCCCAAGGTTTTGAGTTCAAAATAGTGATATAAGTGATAAAATATTGCCATAATAAAGGAATAACAGTGAAGATGAGTTAAAATTCGTTACCCAAATAATTTATCTTGAAAACCCATTGAAAATCACCTTAACTGAGTCCTCAAAGCTCAAGAATGAAAAATGGGGGAAAACCTCAAAATTTCAGACCAAGAACACTCTGAGGTCTCGCAAAAGTGAACTCTGGTTCACTTTCCCGAACATCTCGTTCGCGACCTTTGGTTCACAAAAGCGAACCCCAGAAAAATGTCTCGTCTCGCTTTTGCGAGCAAGCTTTTGCTTACGCGAAGGTTGCGAAAGTGAGAAGACCTTCGCGGAAGTGGATCAGACCTCCTGACCCTTTGCAAATGTGATTTAATCTTTGCTAATGCAACCCTCGCGAAAGTGAAGACCATTCGCGAATTCAAGGTTTGCAGGCACCAGAAATCATTAGCCGACATAAATATTTTCCAATCTCTGAAAGGGCCCTCAGGATTCGTTCGGAATCCCATTATACAAACCAATTATGTTGCCTGATTAACTTGATGTTCCAGACTCAATGGAACTATCGAAACACGAATTTGAGGTCTCTTTCATCAGAAACTTGTGAAAGCCACATTGAACAACATAACGTCTAAAAAGGTCAAACCAAGCTTGGGACCTCTGAAAATTCAACCAAAACCTCTCATATGCCTAAAATCATGCCTAAATCCAACGAAGTTGTTGGAAATTTGATTCGAGCATTCGAATCCCGAATGTTGACCAAAGTCAATCCAAAGGTTAAAATTTTATAAATCTCCAACTTAGAACCTCAAATCCACTCCAAATATGAAACCTACAACTCCCATAAATCAATTTCCACATTTCGGAACTGATGGAATCGAAGGAATTCCATTCATAGACTCGAAAATCCAAAAGACACCAAAATCACTTCTTAACAACTTAGCCTTTCAAAACTCTAAAATTTCCATAATTCACAACTTTTCACTCAAAATCAATTCCACAATCCATTCAAAAATGACTCGAGGCCAATATCAAGAGAGATAAAATAATAATTTTAGAAAAATTCCAAAAATAACCTTTCGGGTCATTGCATTATTCATCACTAAAAACCATGTTGGTCCTCGAACATAAAGTAAAAGAAAGTACCTGAAGCCTCGAAACGATGAGGATATCTGGCACGTATGTCAGACTTCTTCTCCCAAGTTGCCTCACCAACTGAATGGTGCTTCCACTACACCTTCACTGAAGCAATCTCCTTCGTCCTAAGCTTTCGAACCTACCTATCCAAGATGGTTATAAACTCCTTCTCAAATGACAAGTCTGGATCCAACACAACCGAATCAAGAGAAAGCACATGAGAATTATCTGGCACATACTTTCGAAACATGGAGATATGAAACACATGATGCACAACTGACAAGCTAGGTGGTAAGACAAACTTATAAGCCATCTTTCCCACTCGACTCAAAATCTCAAAAGGGTCGTTGAATCTAGGGCTAAGTGTGTCGTTCTTCCCAAACCTCATCACACCCTTCATTGGTAACACTTAAAGCCAAATCAAGCTCAGGACCTCTGAAAATTCAACCAAGACCTCTTCTACGACTAAAATCATCCCTTGAATCCAACAAAACTATTGAAAATCCGATCCGAGCATCCAAACCCCGAATATAGACCAAAGTCAAACCAAAGCCTAAAATTTCACAAATTTTCAACTTAGGACCTCAAATCCACGAAAAGACTCCGAATCTGAAACCATTAACTCTCTTGAAACCAATTTACACATTTTAGAACTAATGGAATCGACAAAACTCTATTCCGAGGCTCGAAACTCCAAAAGACACCAAAACCACTTTTTAACAACTTAGCCTTTCAAAACTCTATACTTTTCGTAATTCACAACTTTTCACTCAAAACTCAAAACCAATTTCAAAATCCATTCAGAAATGACTCGGGGTCAATATCGGGAGTGGTATAATGATAATTTTATGAAAAATCCAAAAATGACCTTCTGGGTCATTACACAAAAATTAAGAGTATTAATTATAAGAAAATTTATGTATTATTTTATATAGATATTAATGATGTATAAAATTATTATTCATGTATTAGTTATTTCATATTCTCTTTTGTATAAAATAAATACATAAATTCCCTCATAATTTATACGTATATTAGGTATTATACATGAACAATTTATCTCTTAACTAGCCATCAAACATGGTAAAAGTAGCAAAATAAAATAAAATTTGCATAACTCACCTTCAAACTAACTACCAAACAATCCCTCCCATCTTAAAAATGAAAAAAACTTATTTATTATGTAGATACTGAATCACTTAAAGTATGTCTTTTCCATTTCAATTTGTTTATCCATTTTCTTTTGATTATCCGTTTAAAAAAACATGCACCTATCTCTATTTTATCAATCAACTCCTTAATTTTGACTTTTTGGACGGCATGTTTAAGCATATAAAATAAAAGTATATTTTGATACATTAAATATATTTTTAATTTAATTTAATTTAAGACTACGAGATTTAAATAATCGCAGTTTATAAATATGTGATTTTAATAAGGCATCCAAATTTCAGAACGGGAAAACCAATTTCAAATGGTAGTTTCGTTATGTTTTTCTCCGGCGACTTCCTCGGCGATTTCCTCCCGCCGACATCGTATTCTATATCTGATGCTTGTATTCAGTTGACAGAAAGCCCTAAATCCTTTTCGCAATGTGAAGTGTCAAAATAATAACTGTGAATTTGCTCACAACAAGTTAAGATGCATTACTATTTGCTATATTAATTCTCAATCTCAATGTTGTAATCACATTATCTAAGTTTATTAGTTGCAGTTGTTGTATAGAAGAAAAGCTTAGCCAGATTCCTTTCTTGCAGATTATGTTTTTATTTTCAGATTGAAAGAAGCAACGATGAAACCCCCTTCGGCATCGGGTTCACTGAAGAACCCAGTGAAGTTCAGACTGTAACTGTCTTGTTCATCTTTCTCTTCCTTTCAATTTTAATATACATACATATATGTGATGGTATAAGAAATGATTTGTTCCTAATGTTTAACAAAAGTTATATCTATATTACAGGCCAACAACCGAGAATCTTGTACCTATCCGTCTCGACATCGAAATTGATGGTAAAAGATTTAAAGATGCTTTTACTTGGAACGCAAGTGGTAAGCTTTTATCTATTTGGTTTTTAACATTTATGTAATACAGGAAATGATTTCATGCTCCTGCATTGTACCCTACTAAGCAGTTAGCTGTTTTCTTGCAACCATTATTTGATGCTTTTAGTTAGTTCCCGATCAAGGTTCAAATCTTTTATTCTAAATGCTGAATGATACCACAGCTCACTTGTACTGTCCAAATGAAAAATTTGGTTTCTGATAACAATGATAAGAAATAATTAATGAGCAAATTTTGTGAACAAGTTGGGTAAACACGCTAGTTCCAGGTAAGGGATACAAAACAAGTGACTTTTTCATTTGGGAGGTGCTATGATATTGAAGGCAATATCTGGAAAATAGTTGGCGAACAATGGAATTCGGGTCCATGGCTTTTTATTTTTATTTTTAGACACTAATAACTATTTCCAGGTGACTTTACAGTGCTCTGAAGACTTCACAGGAAAAGTTAGCAACCTAAGGGATGCTCTGGTGTGTTAAAAATTAAAAATTGGATCTAGGGTGCTTGATCCTTGAAAATGGCTTTATAACTGATGACCTTTGCTGAGTGCTATCTTGTAAAACCAAGAGTAATGTTATAGGGCTTATGTTCTGGCAAAAGATAGCTTGAAACCTCTGCAAACTCTGATATTTGATAACTTTTGTACTAAATTGCTTTTTCCGATGTGATGCTTCGTATACAAAGCCATAGATATATTGTCTATATAGTGAATGGTTCTGTTGATCACTTTTAGAGAAAGAAAAATTGTAGTTTACTTAATATCACCTTGAACTGACCAAGCTGCTGCCCCTCTTTGAACTTCTTAATTACAGATCCTGACTCAGAAGTGGTGGTGTTTGCGAGGAGAACTGTGAAGGATTTGAAATTTCCTACTGCTTTTGTCACTCAGATTGCTCAATCCATCCAGGTAATTTATAAGAAGTCTTAAATCGGAACATGTTATATGCATCATTCCGTCATCTTTCTTCCTGCTTAATAGGATAATTGGCGATTGGATTTTTTTTTTGTGTGTGTGTGTGGGGGGGGGGTCTGTGGGGAGTGGTGGTGGTGGTGGTTAGATCTATAATGCGAGTTGTTACTTGATTTCTACTCTTGTCCTTGCTGGTTCAAATCAACCAGCCTTCTTATAAGTCTTGTGGCCTCTGGCCTGAGCTTTTGTCTTTTTTTTTAGATCACTGATAGTGTCTGTTCTGGAATGCTCTTCGTTTCTTCTTAGAATTTTATTTATACATGCTGAAATCAAGATTCTCCTTCCTCTCCCCACATGCACAAATTTTGACAATCTTCAATTCTTCATTCTTAAGTATCAACAAGCAATTTCTAGTCCAAATAATGTCATCACCTTCCTGAGAGATTCTCTTGCATAGAGGCTTTTAAAAAAAGAGATTTTCTTGTATTGAGAGAACCCTAGGTGATTCTTTCTATCTGCCTAAGCTTTTGCCGATAGAGATACTGGCACCTGTGCTGATGTGAGGTAATAGGTACCGACGGAATAGTAAGGCGCGCTCGAGCTCGCCTGGACAACATTGTCATAAAAAAGATCATATTTTGTAGTTGATATTCTTATCCGAAATCTAAAATCCATCACATTGTATACATAACATCGTGAACCTTGAAAGTTGTGAAAAGACCTAGAGCCTCTATTGCTAGACATGAAGGAATCTGACTTTTAGTGATGACGTCCATGAAGGGAAACATGTTGCGTTGTTGGGAAGGCATTGCCATTTTGATGGGAACCAACATATACAGATCTATCATTGTTGTCAAACTGGTGCCATTTGATAATTCACCAAATGTGCGCAAGGGCAGAGAGCATATAAGTATGGAGAAAAACTCAAACTGCTTATTTCTGTAACTTCAAAGTCATATGGAGGATTTTATTTTTTTTCAATTATTTGGATTTCCTTTTAGAGGCAGGAAATCTTATTCCTCCCTTTGAGATGTTTGTAAGTTGCTGTAGAAGAAGCTAATCTTGATCCGATTTACAAAGAGAATAAGGAAAATCTCCGGACTCCGATATTGAGATCATGATGCATGCATTTTTGGAAAGGACTGATAATTTGAGCTGCATCAATGTTGTTGGATTAATCCTAAACAAAAATTGATGAAAGTGATTGAGAGCCTAGCAAGCCTGCTTCACAGTAGGCCAAACATTTTTGTATAAAAAGCCAGATTGAAATTGTCAGAGCCCTGGAACCTTGATTTATACTCGTAGCCTCATTCGTTGGGAAGCCTGGGAGGGCATTGAAGCAATCTACTTGCTTCCTCTGGTAGTGCTATGAAATACTTGATAGACACTCAAAATTTCCTATGTGATCACTTCTCTCCATTAATTACATTGCTAATCACTCTCAACGTATCTATGTTACTGTACCTATTCTTTTTTTAGAGTCTGGAACTTTGATTATATGCTCATTCTCCTTCTTTGGAAAAGGCATTCGAATTGATCTCCTTCTTACTCTAGTAGTGCTATGAATACTTGATAGACACTCAAAATTCCCTATGTGATCACTTCTCTCCTTTAATTACACTTCTAATCACTCTCAACGTATCTATGTTACTGTACCTATTCTTTTTTTAGAGTCTGGAACATTTATTATAGGCTCATTCTCCTTCTTTGGAAAAGGCATTCGAATTGATCTCCTTCTTACTCTAGTAGTACTATTAAGTACTTTATAGACACTCAAAATTTCCTATGTGACCACTTCTGGCTCCTCAATTACATTGCTAATCACTTCTAATCCATAGAAGGAGAACTGGGGCTCACCAATGCTGGAAGTAATGGCTGCTACTGGTTCGTCTCCATAGCCAACTTTAAATCTGTAAAACATGATAGTGAGGGTGAGTCTACCATTCCAGTGAGTAAATAGCCATCCATAACTGTTGGTACAAGAAAAAAAATGAAACAAAAAGAAAGGTAGTGGCCACTGTTGTATCTGATTATGCATATTCCTAAACTTAAATTGAATGTGACGATGTAATGATCAGCTTGATGTCATATTGGCCTTTTTTCGATTATAAATATTTGGTTTGGGGAGGGGGATTGTTTTTTTTGTTCTAAGATTGGACAAACCCTATCACAACACTTTGTGAGGGAATATAGGCTTTTATCCAGTTTCACTTTGATCTATTAGTGTTTCTTGAATGAAAGTCTACAAGTTCAATTCTTGTAGCATTTTGATGCAATCTATTCTTCACTTTCACAGCATTACTTGAGTGCCCATGTAATGCTTGACTGTACCAACGCATTTGAGCTAATTCGTATGAAAAATCTGTAGCTAATTGGTGAGTAACTGGCGGCTGACTTCCTTATTCAGGTCAAACACCATTATTCAGTTGTTCACCCTTCCCTCCCTAGTTCTTTTGTATGCAGTCCAGTGGAGTTACCCACAAACCACAACTTGTGGCCAGAAGTACTCCACAACACCAATGTATGGAATAAAACCATCAAATTCCTTCCAAATTCTTAAACTAAGTGCATATATCTCAACCTTAGGCGGCACCAAGTACCCACCATCACCATGAGCATAGGTCATCCTTAGTCTTCACAACCTTGTAATCTCTCGTTTTAATTGCAAAGCCAAATCCAAAGAAAGACATATAAGTCCCTAAGTTGTCACAACAAAGAGGAGGCTTTGGGAGGGTGAGACATCTGCCTACTATAGAAACGCAGTTCGTAGGGAAGAACAAGGTGTTCACACATGTAGAGATAGCCTTACATACCATAGTGATGAAACTGAATGAAGAACCTTGGAAGATGAACCCTAGCCTTGGTGTTTCTTGATGTTCTTGAGTGTAGGAATTTAGGACTAAATGAGAGGGTTTAATTATGAAAACTGATTTCCTACACGTTTAGGGACATTTAGATAACTCCCCAAAGGTTTTTAGGACAAAAATACCCCCCCCCCCAATAAAAAGGCGAATTTTGGCCCAGGTTTGCGTTGGCCTCATGTCACGGAGTTGGAAGACAAAATTTTACTCAAGTGGATAGTGAGGTCCGCTTCCTTTCCATGATGCGGACCTGATAACAGACTTGTTAGTCAGGTTGGAGTGTCTCTAGTAAATTAGCCACAACTTTTTACTCCGGACTCCGATTGGCGAACGGTTAGTGGCGTTGAAAAGAAGACTCGTAAACCTTTAATATGATAGGGCATGGTCTAATGGGTCACATAACTCTTTATAATCTGAGAGATATTGTCATTTCAAGTTGACCCTTATATTAACTCATATGAAAAACTTAGCCGATAGAAATGCTTTGAACTTGACTTGGTGTCAGAGGTCCCTGATGACCCTAAACCACATTTGATACACTTCCCATACATAGGAATGAACCTTAACACACATGTACAAGTAGGATATCACATGGTTTAATTTGATACATTCACGACAAATGGTTCGAATCCTTAGCATAGAATTTGTGAGGGTGTTACAATCTCTCTCTCTCTTAGGATCATTCTTCCTCGAATGATGGTCAAGCTAGGGTAACCAACTTAAGCGATGAGCTAAACTCTCCATCAAGTTCAGTAACATTTGAAGGAATACACAATTGAAGGAATACACAAGGTGCAAACTTAACACATGGATTAAAACACTCAAACACAAAGTATAGGTATGGAGTCTAAAATTAGAGAATGACTCTTACCCTTCATTAACATTTGAAGGAATACACAAGGTGCAAAGTTAACACATGGATTAAAACACTCAAACACAAAGTATAGGTATGGAATCTAAAATTAGAGAATGACTCTTACTATATGTCTGACTTTTGAACTTGCCTACTAACATAGATATAACTGGTTCATACTAAGAGTTTGGAACTCAACTGGAGCATACATAGCATGAACATTCACATCAAACTACAAGGCAACAAATTGAGACATGGAGTTTCTAAGGATCATTATAGGAAGAAAGCTACTACCTCGAACGTTCTCATTGAAATGTCTCACAACATTCTGGGAAAAGAATCATGGACATGATTTGTGTGATAAATTTGAGTATGAAGCACTAGTAGGGTATGAGTATCTTAGTCAGCTAACATGAGTTCATAAAACATGAATGATATAGATTTGAACATGTCTCGCCCTCTATATGAAGTTATGTCACATGAAACATGGATACCTTGAGCATAAAATAAGAATAGGATTACTATGCCCTAAGCGATATGACTGATAACTTTTAATCTTAGCAACACTTCCCAACTATATAAGTAAATATAGGTCTAACTACTCGGTTGAGAAAACTTAGCCTACTTTGGCACCAAACAGTTACTACAGAAGTCGAATCATGAACCTTTGATCCATTTATGAAGTTTTAGCTTGTTCTCAGTCTAAAATAACAACACAAGTACAACATAAATCACAAATGACCTAAATATTCTCAGAGTATATCCAAATCCCAAACCCTAGGCCAACCTTATGATTATTCCAACCAAACTAGGGTTTTTCCACTATTAATTCACCTATATGACCAATTCCATGGTTATATTAATAATTTATGGTAAATAAATAAAAAACAAATGTGTTATAGAAAACCCAATGTCTTACAATAATAAATCCTCATAAACCTAGATTTCCTCACCTTAGGATGAATCCAAACCCTCCCCTAGGACCACAATTACCTTCTCTGAGGCCTAGGAATCGAATTACAAAAGTAGTGGATCAGATTGCTCACCTTTACGAAAATTCATAATGAAAATCTGCTGAAATTTGCACAAAGTCACACTTTCTCTTCTCCAAAAATGAAATCAGAATAATGAGCGATTTTTAAGACTTTTTCTACATTAATTCATGAGTGACCCCGTTACAGCAGCCCAATTGAGCCCCCAATCCCGCTATAACGGCCTAGATTGACCACTTTTTTCCTCCGCTATGGCGGCGTAAAACCCACTATAGCGGCTTGCACGGGATAGAACCTCAAAATAGTATATTTTGCAACACACTTCAAATTCTGACGTAGTTAAACCGACCTCTTCACGCCAAGTTAAAAATTGGGAGTTCTGCTTATCCGAATTCGATTTCGAAAAGCCTTACAGACTCCTTATTATCTTAGCTAATAGAAAACCAATTTAAGTTTAGACATTTTACCTCATCTATTTTTGGATTGCCCTAGACCTCACCTTGCTCAGATTTTGTCTGAGACTGGCCTTGCCCAAAATTTTCAACTTACTACTTCAAAAGTTTTCTGGTCCAATTTTTTTCACCAATGGTTTTCTCATAACGACCGGAAGGGGCTGTTACACCAGGGGTATAAAAAGAATCGTAGGGATGGCAATGGGGCGGTGTGAAGCGGGGGCGGGGCGGGTTTAGCTTAACCCGCAAAATTATTAGTCCTCCCCGCCCCGCATAGCAAATTCAATATTCTGGAACAATACAACGAACTAAATTCCAATGAGGACAATTTATTTTGGAATCTTGACAAGAAAGGAAGATTTATAGTGGGTTCAGCTTACAGAAGGTTACAAAGAGCAAACTCACATGATGGTAGTTGTCCTTGGAAGATGATCTTGAAAGTCAAGATACCTTTCAAGGTAGCATGTTTTACTTGGCTTCTACCAAATAGGTTACACTCATCCACGACAATCTAATGAAAAAAGGTTTTCAAATTTGTCCTAGTTGCTCTTTTTGTGAATGTGAAATTGAGACAATAAACCATCTCTTTCTATATTGTAGAGACTGTGAAGTTATGAAAGATTTTCTTTAACTTAAGGGGCATAAGCTGGACTATGCCAATGAGCATAAATTTTAGCTTGTTGGAATAGAGAAGGAAATCAGTTAGGATACAGAGAGATGGAAGATTGTCTCAGCCTGAATTTGGTGGACTATATGGATGGAAAGGAACCAAAGATGTTTTGTAAACAAGAGCTACTCACTGCAAAAATTGAAGATGAACTGTTTGGTCCTTTTCTTTTTTTGTTGTAAACATGAATATCCTCAAAAAGAAGGGGATATTCCTAGTATTCTTGATAATTTGTGATATAGTAGTAGTTTTCTCTTCCTTGTATTTTGGCGGCAAGTATTACTGAAATACTTCCTAAGTATTCCTTTGTTCATAATTCAAGTTACCTTTCTAAAAAGAATCGTAGTTAATAATTCTAGGGTTCATAAAATAATAATTTTCCAGAATTCATCGAGAAAACATCAAGAAACCACTAAGAACTATTAAAAAGTCATTAAGAAACCATTAGACTTAGTTGTCAAGATAGAAACCGTTACTTTCATAATTATTCATAATTTCATGGAGAAAATCTTGAAAAACTCGTGGATTAAGAGTTATCAAGAAATTGAAACACTTTCATGGAGAGTTCTCAAGCTTTCATGAAGACTCAAGAACAATTCAAGAAAGTGGGGTTTGAAACCATAGAAATGTAGTTCATGTGGAAGAACAAGGTGTTCCTACTCGTGGAGATAACTTTACATATCTCACTAATGAAATTTGATGAAGAACCTTGGAAGATGAACCCTGGCCTTAGTGTTTCTCTTGAAGTTCTTGAGCATAGGAATTTAGGATTGAATGAGAGGGTTTAATTATGAAAACTGATTTCCTACACGCTTAGGGACATTTGGATAACTCCCCAAAGGTTTTTAGGACAAAAATACCCCCTAAAAATAAAAAAGAAACGGCGAATCTTGGCCTAGGTCCTTGTTGGCTCTGTGTCACGGAGCTGGAAGACGAAGTTTTACTCAAGTGGACAATGAGGTCCGCTTCCTCTCTGTGTTGCGGACTTGATAGTGGACTTGTTAGCCAGGTTGGAGCATCTCTAGTAAATCGGTCATAACCTTTTACTCTGGACTCTGATTGACAAACGATCGGTGACGTTGGAAAGAACACTAGTAGACTTTTAATTTGATAGGTCATGGGTCATCTAACTCATTATAATCCGAAAGATATGGTTGTTTGAAATTAACCCTTATATTAACTCATGCAAAATAAACTTAGCTGATAAAATACTTTGAACTTGACTTGGTGTTAGAGGTCCCTTATGATCCTAAACCACATTCGATACACTTCCCGCACATAGGAATGAACCTTAACACACATGTACAAGTAGGATATCCCAGTTCAATTTGATACGCTCACGACGAATGGTTTCCTTAACATAGAATTTGCGAGGTGTTACATATGCGTAATGAGTTGAGGTCTTCCCCCTTAGGGAGAAGCTATCTTTGCCATTTTGCTTTCATAAATAAATTATCAATACATTTTGATTAATATATATTCAAGATATTTAAAATTGTTCATAAAAAATATTTTATATATATATATATATATATAGAAGTTGTCGGTTCGGTTATTTCTTTGGGTTTTTTAGTACACAACCAAAACAAATATTATCAATTTTTAAAAATGTAAAACCAAACCAAACCCAAATAAAATCGGTTTATTTAATTGGTTTGGATGATTAAGAACATGTACAATAGAGCCAAGACTCGAGTGGGGACAATGGCAGGAGACTCGGAACACTTTTGAGCCGAGATGGTTTGCATAGGGATCAACTCTTAGCCCGTTATTATCTGCCTTGGTGATAGATGAACTGACATGGCATATTCAGGGTGAAGTGTCATGGTATATGTTATTTATAGATGATATAGTATTGATTGATGAGACACACGACTAAGTTAATGATAGGACGGATGTTTGGAGATAGACTCCGCAGTCTAAAGGGTTCAGGTTGAACATGACTAAGACAAAGTACTTGGAGTGCAAGTTAAGTGACGTAACTCCCTAGGCAGATCTGGATAAAAGACCAAAAGGCTGTTCATAAGATGTTAACGTAAGTCTTTTGTCTATTACAGAATAGTATAATTTGGAGAAACCTCAACAAGTATTCTGGTTGTTTTATGTTCACTGATCTTTAAAAAAATCCTTTATGTCTGCATTTGGTGGTCTGTATGGATGGAGAGGAACCAGAGATGTTTTAAAAACAAGAGCTGCTCTATGCAGAATTTGAAGCTGAATTGCCTGGTTCTTTTTTTTTTTTGGTGTAAACATGAATATCCTCAAGATGCAGAGGATATTCCTAGTATTTTAGAGTTCTTATGACCTCCATAGGAGTTCTTTTCCCTTTGCAACTTTTGGATGTAAGTATTATTAGAATACTCCTTATGTATTCTTTTGTTTATAATACAAGTTACCTTTCTCAAAAAAATAAAATCTTTATGTCTGTTATTCCTTTTTCTGGATAAAAACTTGGTATTGCTATAGTGTTTGCCGACCTCTGTTGCAAAAAGACTGCTTAGGGTACATGCTTTCTTTTCTGTTGCTTCCTGTAACTTAAGTCTTATTGGTTTCTCCTTTTCCAATTTTGTAGTCACAATTGATAGAATTTCGGTCATACGAAGGACAAGATATGCACACTGGCGAGAAAGTTGTTCCTATCAAGGTTTGTCACATTTGTTTTTGTTGATATTGATGACATTACGTTGAAAGATTATTCATCCCAAAAATTTTTTTACTGTGAAAGAGACCTATCTTACTGACTTTGGTGGTCTCAACTGCCGAGGGTTCATCATTTGAATTAGGTACTTGTATTTATCTATTTCCCTTTCTTTTCCGGGCTCATCCAGCTTGATCTCCAAGTAAATCACACAGTTATAAAGGACCAGTTTTTCTGGGTAAGTTGTTGGATATCTCATTCTTCAATCTCATCTATCTTGCTTTGGTAAGAACTGTGATCAAATTAGCAATTACTCTGCCTCATTTGTTGCTAATATAAAGAGAAATAAAATAATTTCAGGACATGAACAATTTTGAGGGTGATCCTGAAGAATTTGCACGGACATTTTGTGAAGATATGAAAATTGAAGACCCAGAAGTTGGAGTAAGCTCTATTTATTTCCTTTCTGTTGGTTGAGAATAAAAATAGTGTTTGTGTTTCCATCCCATAAAATTATCATTTGTTATTGCATATTCGTTGTAAGTTTGATGTTCATCATACTGATATACTTCTAAGTTATGGGGTGATGAAGTTAAAGGGGGTGCCCTTCTATACTTATTTTTCTTCCCATCTCTGTTTGATTGTTTTTTGGGGTTAACTAGAGTGTATATCAGCCAGCCAGAGACAATTGTGGGTCCAAAAATTTAGTCCTGTGCTCTCAAGATTCAACATTCAAATTCCATGATACTTCCACATCTCTGATGCGAAACTGAATATTTTGGGTTTAATATTTGCAACTTGTGCAGATAAAATTAACCTCCCTCCTATTTTGCTACAATTAGGAAGATCTTTCTGTAATTTGTAAATGGGGGAGGATTGGTGAAGGGGAATCATAGAATTAATATTCCATTAGGTCTCATTATAGTCTCATAAGGGATATTCTAGCAAAATGCACAGTTCCTTAATCAAGAAAGTGACCTAGTTTTCTTCAATGCTGAATTTATTTGATAAAATATGCTGTCAAATAATTTCAACTTTCTTAGACCATTGACAGAGTATGAGAATATGAGGAATTTAGTAACTTGGTTTTAGAGAAGAAAATTTAAGAGCATATTGATGACATGGCAACATAAAAAAATGATAAGAGTATACAATCTGTTTGGAGAACAATCCCTCTTTGTTTTTTATGGACAATATGACTGGAAAGAAATAGGATCTGGTTTGAAGGGGAAAGACAACATATATCCAGGACTAAGAATAGATGTCCTGTAAATATGTATTTATGGTGTACAAGGAGTATTAAGTAAAATATGGAGCAATACATGGAATTCTTAGAAGGAGATGGGAGATATGTGGCTGAATGTTGGTGATAGATGCTGTTTTTTTGTAATGTTGTACCATCATGGTTCCTTTCCTCAATCAAATCTTACCTTATCAAAAAGATATTGGGAAGGTAATGAATAATGTAGGATAATTGGTCTTTAACCTAAAAATATAGACAACATATTGGGCTTTGCTCAAAAGAGTACTCTAGAGATCGTGTTCCACACAGGAAACAATTACTATTGTTATGTTTTTACAATGTTCTTGTCTTGTAATTGCTATATTCATCCTTTCTTTCCCCCAGTCTCTTTTTTATTGTACTGGTCTTAGGAAAAGATTGCTTATCTTGACACAACTGTGAGAAGCCAATGTTGAGCGATTTGCCTTGAACTTACTTACTTTTTATATTGTCAGAGTTTAACTGCCCCGTGATTGGAATTGGACAAACAAACACATACAATTAAGAGCTTTCATTACAATTACAGCAGAAAGATATTGGGCTGTAAATTGAAATAGCAAAATCATAAAGATAAGTTGCTTGGACTCCCCAAAAATGTTGCCACACCCGTGTCGGATCCTTCAAAAATACAATATTTTTGGAGGATCCGACATGCACCCGTCGACATTTTTGAAGAGTTAGAGCAACATAGTCTTAAAGGGTAATCATGCATTAGGGATATTAAAACCTCTCGATATTGTAGGCCTTTGTATTTATGTGTTAAAAATCTATATATATGTTCATGTATAAGTAAACTCTGGACATATAAGAGTTCCATATTGAATCTTATTAGATAAAGAATCTTTTGTCTCGTGGTAGCCTGCTCCAGTCCCCTTAAGAAACTTTCATTATTGGGTTAACCATAGAGAGGGAGGGCAGAGCTTTTGATTATTTCATGTTGTCATAGAGTTGAACAATTGGTTTCTAATGTTGTCAAAGATTTGAACAATGAAAATAGATAGTGAGTGCCTGATTCTTACTTGGCTCAAATGAGATTTTGTCCCAACATTATCCCATCAAGAGACAATTTTTTCTGTAGTGTAGCTTCTTGGAATGCACTAAATTGTAGTTGTGTTACTTTCTCACTTTTTACTCCTACAAAACAATCATGGGTAGTTACTTTCTTTAATACCCAGTGTTTTACTTACATCCTAAACAATCTGATGTGAGGCTGTCATTTTTCAGTATCCTTTTTATTTTAAAAAACTGGGGATGCTTTCTTCTTGATAGTTGACTCCTTTTTTTGTAGCCTGCAATTGCCATAGCAATTAGAGAACAACTTTATGAGGTGAGAATATATCATTCATTTTGTTTCTACCTGGATTTCTACTATGTGTTAATAGTTGAAAGCCAGCCACTTCACGGTCTTTTGACTATTTTTGGCATTTAACTTTTCAGATTGCAAAGCAAGGTGTTGCATCCGTGAGAGAAAACAGGACAAATAAGAAAGGACGCAGAGGAATGGAACATCTCTCAGCCAGGTTAGTGTCATTGAGCTATGCTGTTTATGTTGATCTTTGGTCAATCAAATCACATACACATTATCCTCGGTACATCTCTTTCCTCATAATTATCTTTTTGACAGTAAAGTAGGTTCGCCTGCACTGGACCTGGGGAAGCTATTCGACCCTGATGGAAGTATCCAACGGTACCACTCTTGCTTTTTCTTAATATTCTCTCACTCAATAAAAAATGAATGTCAAATCGAAATGAGGATTCTTTTCCATATGTATTTCAATTCAATCGTATCTCATCAGCACATCCAGTTTTGGACTTCATTCATTTCAAATGTGACTCTTCTCAGGGGAAAGAGTGAATGTGATGCATTTGAACCAATTGTCAGTCACCTGTCAAATGAAGAGGTGGATGCCGTCGAGGCTAGAGAAGAGAGGCTTCCTCGGTGATGCAGACAGTGTCTATTGGAATGGATATCAGCAGTTTAAATGAGAAATTGTTTTAAGTTTTAGAATGATGAAATGAAACTAGTTCCTAGTAAAAGTATAACCAAAATCTCGTGTTTTAGATAATGTTCAGATTTTTGCAGTGATCTGGAGATCACAGTTACTTCTGTTTGTCAAAAGAAAATATGGAACAGTACTTCTGTGCTAATTTATTAGTACCTGTTTCTCTACTTCTATGGACTTTTTGGATTTCAAAAGGTTGAAACAAATTTGTTGATGGACTGGGACACCTGCGTGCTGTACCGTCAATGAGTTTGCGAGTTCATTGAAGAACTTTCAACAACTGTTGATCTATATTTATTTTTAAACGCAGGTACCCCAAATATCATTTTTCACTCATGCTTATTTTCAATGATGATGATTGAGTTTTTTCAATCAATATCAACTTTCCATTATTACATATTTTAACTCATACTTATTTTGAAAAGTGATTTTTGAAAAAGTATTTTGGAGAATAATAATTTGTGTTTCGCTAATCAATCAATTTGAAAAATATTTTGATAAAAAAAATTTCCGCAGTAACTAGTTGTCTTAGCTAAGAGTCTAAGGGGTCGTTTGGTACAAACATTGATAACACAGGGATTAGTAATGTAGAGATTAGTAGTGCATAGATTATTTTTTGTCAAGTGTTTGGTTCATTGCTTCCCACTTAATTTTGTGTTTGATTTAAAACTCTACAAAAAAATTCTTTCCTATTATACTCTTGTGTTATTATGAGATTGTTTATTTCATGTAATTGAGTCAAGGTAGATAATCACCAGACAATATTTGTTTTGTAGGATTTTCTATTTCATTTAACTAGTTAAGTTATATATATATATATATAAAATTAATTTTGAGGTATGATGTACCACTAAGGAGATCCTTGATGGTATGGTGTTGGTCAAATGTATCTTAAACTTAACATAGATTTAGGACTACTTATATTGTTCAATAGCTAAAGCTTAATATAAAAACTAGTTCAAGTGGTTAATCGACGAACTACATTGAATTAAAAAAAAAGAGAAAAAAATATTAGTGAAATCATTATATTACACTAAACAAATTTGGAGAATTAAAAAGAACATTTATAATTATTTCAATAAAAAAAAATAATCAAATTACAAAAGAAAATTAGGATAATGAATAAAGGGATAATTTTGTTATTTAGGGGTCTTATCCAAGGTTTAACAAACCTTGGATTAGTTATCCCTCCATTTCCTATGGATAAAATAAGACTACATGTGGTGTATAAGCAACCCATGGATTAAATAAAATAAAGAGAAAATACATAAAAACCCCCCCTGAACTTGGCACGAAAACTTACTTTAGTACTTAAACTACACGGGTGTTTATATACCCCCCTTAACATCTTTTATGTGAATTATTTTCAACCCTCCGAACACCAGCCTTGTGCGCGTGTTGTTACAGCTTAGAACGGCGCGCTAGTCATCTTTAAACATTTTTAAAAAATTAAATTTGCCCCTCCAACGGTAATATCCGACCCATTACCCATTTGAAGAACAATCTTCACTTTTGAAGAACCCTAAATACCTCTTCTCCCTCACCAACCAAATCATCCAAAAAATGGTGACCTAATTCATTATTTTTTCTTGATTTTTCTCAAATCTTAGCTCTTCAAACCTAAAAGTTGAATGTTTAAAGGAATTGTTCTTCAAAATGTAAGATTCAAACCTAAAAGTTGAATCTTTGAAGGAATTGTTCTTCAAAATGTAAGATTCAAACCTATTCTTCTTCATCTATTATTTTGATTTTCCTTTCCTCCCTTTTTTCTTATTTTCTGTTTTTTACAGATTCTCGTTACTTCTTGCACAAAATTGTAGCACACAATGCGGTCAATTAATTTGACAAATCTTTGTATGGAAGAAGATGATTATACTACGAACAAAAAAGTTTATTGTAATCATGGACTTGTGGTGCGTTTGAAAACATCTTGGACTTCAAATAACCTCGGAAGAAGATATTCGTCATGTCCTTATTATGGGGTAAAGATCATTTTTGTTTAAATTTTTTTAGCCGATTAAGAATTTGATTATCACTAATTCCTTCATTTTTTTCATTATTGAAGGGTCCTAGATCTTGCAACTTTTGGTGTTGGAAGGATAAAGAAAATATTGATCTGAGGTCGAAATTTGTGATTCCTAAACTAATACAGAAATTGGGTGAGCTTGAGAATATTGTAGAACCCTCTCAAACCTCAGCCACTGCATTTGAATTGGTTGAGGTCACTGCAGAAGTTGACAAGCTGGGAGATTTCAAACAAGATGATGATTGTCTAGGTATGAAATTGAAAATGTTGCAAGAAGAGGCTGAGAAGATGAAAGTAATGCAGAATAAATGGAGAAGAACATGGCAGAATGTGATCTTTTTTGTTGTAGCTTGTTGTTGTGTTGTGGTTATAGCTATAAGCTATTGGTTCTGGGTGATATATATGAAGAAAGGTTCAATGAAGTTACCTTAAGTTGTTTGATGTAGTGAGATCAATGTTGGTGTAGTGTAGCACTGTTTATGTTGTAATCAATTAGGTGCAAGACTCTTTTGTAATGAGTTCTTCTTATTCTCTTAATGTAATTTGGTGGTTTGTGTATTTGTTTGTGTTTTATTTACAACTGCATTCACTAAATTGCAGTCACAATTGCATAATTGTACATATAAAAGTAATGCAAAGCTGGTTGCATAATTGTTTTAAAAAGTGACAACTAAAATATCAAACTAATGCAGTCACAACTGCATAATTGTTTCAAAAACAAACATAGATCAAACTAATGCAATCACAGCTGCAACATAATTGTTTCAAAAACAAATAAATCAAACTAGTGCAGTCACAGCTACATAATTGTTCCAAAAGCAGTTAAAATATCAAACTAAAGCAGTCTCCATATCAAACTTCAGCAACATTGGACCTTGTTCTCATTCTTTTGTTTTCTCTCATCTCTTGAAGACATTGTGAGTTACAACAGCCTTTCCTTTCCATTTTAAGCTTGATCTTGGTTTATGATGCCCAAGATTTTCAGTCACTATTGAAGAGTTCATAGGCATTCCAGGTTAGATTCACAAAAATATGTTGTCTTAGATGCTTCATAAGTTAAAATTTAAAAGTGTGTAAATAATTAAGACAACTTACATTGTGGATTGTAAAACCACTCTGTGTATGTAGTATCCCCATTCCAACCATTCTTGGCCTCTTCCCTCCTCTAGTAGCACCAGGAACATCAGTAGCAGTAGCAGCTACACCAGTTCATCTTCCCCTTCCAGCTACACCAGTTGCAGTTCCTCTTCCCCTTCCAGCTAAACCAGTTCCAGTTCCTCTTCCCCTTCCAGCTAAACCAGTTCCAGTTCCCCCTCCAGCTAAACTAGTTCCAGTTCCTCTTCCCCTTCCAGTGGCACCAGAACTATCAGCAGCAACACCAATCCCTGTTCCATTACCAGTTGCAGTTCCTTTTCCCCTTCCAGTAGCACTAGCCTATAACATAAAGTGATCAACAAAAATATTAGACTGATTAAGATGTAAATTAACAACTAAATTAATTACTATAAACATTACATGTTTTGTAAAACCTCTTGGTCGACCTCTTCCTCTCTTTGTGCTTGATTGTGATTCAGTTGGTGCTCTAGAAGAACCAACACTTAACCTTGTTGAACTAGTCTCACATCCTCTCCCCTTTCCTCCTCCTCTGCCTGTATTAGCTTGATTATTCAAATGACAACCCCTCTTATTATGACCCTTTGCATGATAAAGATTGCAGGTCATCTCAACACCTCTCTTGGACAATTTTTTTGTTTTGTTTTCATTTTGCTCCTTTCTCCTACACTTTCTAGGCCTTCCTGGTAGTGTTTTTATAACATGTGGTATAACAGAAGGATTGGTCGACTGTGGCCACATTTTCATGTTAGTAATTGGTTGAATGTAGTGACTATAGACCTTGAGATAAGTCTCCTTGCTATACCAATGTGCAACATAGTTAATGGACTCCAATTTTTTAAAATGAAGTGCAGTTATAACATGGCAACAAGGTATACCTCTTAGCATCCAAGATCTACAAGTACATGTTTGATTGCCTAGATTCACACAAATGTGTTATCCCAACTGTCTTTAACCTCAAAATCATATTCACCATTCCATTCAAGGTTACACTTCATTGACTTTGTTGTGTTCTCTGTCAATACATTTAGGGTCATCGGAGATATGTTTGTTATCCAAGTATCACATAACTCCCTCAATTGTCCTATTCTTCTCATTGTTTTGATCCTTATTTCTTTAAGCATTGTGATGATAGTTTTGTGTCTTGGCCCAAAAATCCATGAATTAAAGCTTTCAGCATGTTGTTATCAACACTATCACAACAGCTAAAAAACTTAAAGTATAATTTAGAACACCTCTCTATATTGTACGACAATAAGTCATCACATATTCCAGTGCGTAACTTCTCCATATGATCCAAATTTCTTTTCAATTCTTGTTCGTATGCAGATTCGGCACATCTCCAAAAACAATTTATTATTTCAATGCCTTTCCAATTCTTAGACAGTTGGCTAGAACATATCTTGCACACATTCTTTGTTCTATATTTGGCAGAAGATCTTGAATAGCTTTGTCAAGACCCTTTAACAACAATATTTAGAATAACATGAGATCTAACTTAATGAATAAATGGAAGAGAAATTAAATGAATAAATAAAAATACCTTCTGCATATCAGTAATCGTTGTCAATTTTGTTCCATCTCTTAGCTCAAGATCATGTCTTACAAGCTTGATAGACCATTTCCAAGTGAATGTATTTTCAACCTCAACAACTGCCCATGCTAGTGATAGCATTTGGTTGTTCCCATCCTTACAAACAACCACAAGTAATTGACCTCTAGAAACATCTTTCAAGAAGCAACCATCAAATCATATACATCTTCTAACTCCAACTTTGAATGCCTTCTTTAAAGCATCAAAACATATGTAAAATGATTGAAATATTTTGCTACCACCTTCAAAAGTTTCTTCACTAAGTCTCACCACACATGTGCTGCCTGGATTAGTTTTTAAGAGCTCATCTCTATTATCTAAAATTCTTTTAAAC